TCCGCCAAGACTTGAACTGGGAATCAGGATCTTTATAGGCTGGTCACCACTTCTCAAAAGTTATCTTGATCACCAGTAGCTCCTTGTCTGAAGTATCAAAGGGTTTTTTTCCACCAGGGTTAGCTTCCAGGAATAAAACACACAGTGGTGGAGTTGGTGCAGATGCCTGCACGTTGAGATAATACTGTGCCTATGGCAAAGTTCAAGGCATTGGCCTCGGTCACAAATGGTTTAGTGAGATCTGGGTGAATCAGGGTGTTTGCTGAGGTGAATGACTTCTTCAGTCAATCAGAAACTGACTGAGTCTCTGTCAACTAGGCAAACCAGGACTCCTTTTTCAGGAGCATCATTATGGGTGCAACCACATTAGATAATCCTTTAATAAATTGTTCGTAGAAATTGGTGAACACCAGGAATTGCTGCACCTCACAAACATCCTTCTGAGCTGATACAGCGAGTCACTAGAAAGCATCGTTTGGTTTTAACCATACCTATCTCTTTTTCTCTTGCTTAGAATCACTTAAATCTCTGTTCTTTATTAATAAACGTATTCTTAGTTTTACTATAAACCATCTCAGTGTAGTTATATTTAAGTAAAATGTGAGTCTTCCGCTAATCTAACAAGCTGGTGTGTGCTCTGTCTCTTTGGAGGCAGGAAACTTAATATCTGTGACAGCCCAATGAGAGGGACTGGACGCTGCAGGGAGATGTTTCTAGGGAACTTGGGAACTGGGTTTCACTGATCCAAACCCACAAGGCAAGGTTTGGACTGGCAGAGTGTCGAGGAGTTTGCTGGAGAGGCAAACAGACAGATGTGGTAGGAAGCTGATACACAGTCTAAGCTCTAGTAAAGATTACTCTTGCTAAAGCACAGGGGTAATACAGTGGTTTACAGTTCTTGTGCCCTGAGCAGAATGCCATACAAGCAGTCACAGCTCTGCCCAGGGTTCACATCTACTAAACTAAGGTGCAAGGGAGAAGAGGAGCACCAAATCAACTGGTGTGATGGCATTCAGGAAAGTAACTTAGAATATCAAGCCTTGCCTCAGTGCACCCACCAGATTAGTGTCCTGTGGAGGTGCTTTCACATACCTCTGTAGTGCACGATTCCCCATGATACATTGTGAAATCCATAGTGGAATCCCTGAATTCATCTAGTTAAATGCCAGTTCATATAAGGGTCCCACAGTCACTGAATGAATCAAAAAGTGCCTCAAAGCATCAATTCATCCATTGGATTCCAACGCTGTAACAGAGGAAGGAGCAACCCTCCTCTCCCCAGGTGTATAAATATTAAACTGTATATTTCCAACAATATGCATTAATCATACTCCACTCGCTCTGCACAGCTGCTTTATTAAGATGCCTTCCAGGGAACCAGTTAAACCAAATTATGTCATGACTGCTGTCACACCATAAGTTAGGCTGACACTGAGTTTCCATTATAAGCCTGAAATTGGACTATATGGTGGATAGAAAGCTGGCTAGATCGTCGGGCTCAATGGGTAGTGATCAATGACTCCATGTCTAGTTGGGAGCTGGTATCAAGTGGAGTGCCCCAAGGGTCAGTCCTGGGGCTGGTTTTGTTCAATATCTTCATTAATGATCTGGAGGATGGCGTGGACTGCACCCTCAGCAAGTTTGCAGATGACACTAAACTGGAAGGAGTGGTAGATACACTGGGGGGTAGGGATGGGATACAGAGGGACCTAGACAAATTAGAGGATTGTGCCAAAAGAAACCTGATGAGGTTCAAGTGCAGAGTCCTGCACTTAGGACGGAAGAATCCCATGCACTGCCACAGATTAGGGACCAAGTGGCTAGACAGCAGTTCTGCAGAAAAGGATTTAGGGGTTACAGTGGATGAGAAGCTGGATATGAGTCAACAGTATGCCCTTGTTGCCAAGAAGACTAACAGCATTTTAGGCTGTATGAGTAGGAGCATTGCCAGCAGATCAAGGGAGGTGATCATTCCCCTCTATTCGGCATTGGTGAGGCCTCATCTGGACTAGTGTGTCCAGTTTTGGGCCCCACGCCACAAGACACTCACTCACTCATGCCCGTCACCCCAATCGGGGTATGGGCTGCCAACCACAGATCTCCAGAGTCCTTTATCCTGGGCCATTTGCTCTAGCTGGTTCCAGGTGTAGCCCATTTTTATGCTATCAGCCTGAAGGTCGCGTCGCCAGGTGTTTCTCCTCATCTCTGCTGCGACCTGCGCCGTCTTTCTTAACTCGTACATGGTCCTCGCATTCCATGTACCGATGGTAATCCTCCTGGTTGCAAGAAGGGTAATCGGCTTAGTGGCTTCCTCACGACTTTCACCACCCAGCGTCATGTGTCTTCGAGTTGAAGACCCTTCTTTTTCCAGGGTAAAAGTCTCTGTTATCTCTATTGTTGGCGTTTCTGTAGCAAGTTGATTTTTTACGGGGTGGAGTTGTTAGCCCCACGCCCAACCCTCCGCGGACCTTTATCCTGACTTGGGACAGGCAGATGGCCCCCAAAGGACCTCTCTGGTGGAGTTACACCACAAGAAGGATGTGGAAAAATTGGAAAGAGTCCAGCGGAGGGCAACAAAAATGATTAGGGGGCTGGAGCACATGACTTATGAGGAGAGGCTGAGGGAACTGGGATTATTTAGTCTGCAGAAGAGAAGAATGAGGGGGGATTTGATAGCTGCTTTCAAGTACCTGAAAGGGTGTTCCAAAGAGGATGGATCTAGACTGTTCTCAGTGGTAGCAGATGACAGAACAAGGAGCAATGGTCTCAAGTTGCAGTGGGGGAGGTTTAGGTTGGATATTAGGAAAAACTATTTCCCGAGGAGGGTGGTGAAGCACTGGAATGGGTTACCTAGGGAGGTGGTGGAATCTCCTTCCTTGGAGGTTTTTAAGGTCAGGCTTGACAAAGCTCTGGCTGGGATGATTTAGTTGAGGATTGGTCCTGCTTTGAGCAGGAGGTTGGACTAGATGACCTCCTGAGGTCTCTTCCAACCCTGATATTCTATGATTGTGCCCTCCCCTAGTGCCCATCCAGAGAAAAGTTATATCAGCTTCAATGTTTGGTAAATTAGATCTGGAGTTGAGGTAGTGAGCAACTCCATTTTTAGGGTGTCATAATTCAGGAGCCCCTTCTTCAATTCCTTTGAGTTTGGTAGAAAAATTCTACTTTGGTTTATGTTGAGGCCAATATTAATTTGTGGATTTTGCAGAGGGCCTTAAAATCAGACTGGTAGTGGATGGCTGCCACCACCCCATAATATAGTGCACTTATGTAAAAAATCACAGCATTGTGTTGTTTTGTTCTTTTTTTTCCAGTTATCTAAACCAAACTTCTAGGAAGATGAAGTTTTTTTCCATCTCCCATGCCATGTTGTGTTCACCTCTGCCTTGTTGCATAATTTTCTTCATTGCTCTCCATGTTCACAAGTTGGATTCAGGTAAGAATTTCTTCAATTCAGGCACCTAATTTCCAGTTTTAGGCACCACTGCAATCTACAAACCTCCCGCTTGGCTTCTACCTAACCTTGTAGGTGACTAAACTCACTCAGCAGCTATATTTCCACTCTAAAAGTTCCCTAGCCACCTATGTATATTTCTGGCTCTGGGCACGTCCACAGCTAACTCACTCTAGGCATCCTGACCCCTATCTCCTGCCTAAATCCCAGTACAATCCATGAAATGGAGGAAGATAGATGAAGGAGAGCCTGATGAGAAGGGTTTGCACAGGGATCTGCCACCTCTCAGGGGAGTGCTCTAAACACTGGGCTCTAAAGCATTCTGATATGGGTCTCCCTCCACCTCTCCTACTGAAGTTGTTCCACTTTAATTGAGTAATTAAATATTAAGTGGTCCAGGGAAAGAGCAAGAATCAGGAGCGGTGCCAGGATTTTGCCGCCCTAGGCGGTAGCGCCGCTCCTCTGAGCATTCAGGGGGCCTGGGGTCTTCGGCGGCAGGGGTACTTCCGCTCCGCGTCTTCGGGGCACTTTGGTGGCGGGTCCCAGAGCGAGTGAAGGACCCACCTCCGAATTTCCGCCAAAGATCTGAAGCGGAAGGACCCCCCGCCGCCAAATTTCTGCCAAGGGTGGCAAAATGCCGCCCCCCAAATCCTGCCACCCTAGGCCCTGGCAAGAATGACACTATAGCTCAGTGGTTAGGGCACTCACCTGACAGGTGGTAGATCCCCATGCTAATCCCTTCTCCTAATCAGGGCAGAGGGAGAACTGAACTGGAGGTATCCCACATCTCAACTGAATACCCTAAATACTGAGCTAAAGGTTATAAAGGTAGGTCACCTTTCCCCCTCACCGCCTTGTGTGGAGTGAGGCAGGCATCTAACTCATTATCGGAAGAAATGACCTAGGTGCCTAAGCCACCTGACTGCAGAAGTCGGGTTCCCATTTGTGGATCAATAGGCAGAGATAGGCACCTCCCTGCAGGCTGAACTTAAGTGCCAAACTTGGTGAGAGGGGTAGGAGACAGAACACACCCTTCCTATCGGTATCTCCCATTGGTTAGTTTAGGCAGTTCCCTGCCCAGCATGCTGGCTTTTGTGTATCCTATTCTTAGGAGCCTGTCTCTCTCCATTCATTGTATAGGGCGCCTGGGCACCTAAATCAGACTTTGTGAATCACACTGTTGTTCCAGTGGTTTTCTAGGCACTTAAAAGTTAAGTGTTGCAATGCTCACTGTGGCAATGCCTAAACCTTATGTGGATTTGGGTCCCAGTGAATTGCTCTTCTTTGATCACATCCATTCCCATTGTTCTGGAAGCAGGCAAGGAGCATGAGTCATGATTACATTACACCATCAGTCTACTTGAATCTTTCATCTTCCCTCTGTTTAATTCCTGCTATTTTCCTTAAGAATATTTCTGTTATAGTTTGGGGTAAACTGCATTGAAGTTGGTGGGTGTAACCATCAACCTTTATTTAAAATAGAAACCATTCAGTTTCCTTTTGAATAATCCTGATCTGGGCCTGGGCACAAGCATGGATGCTTTGTCCAGACAGCGTTGTGGGGGAGCTAATTGCAAATACTGCCAAAAGCAGAAGAGCAAGAAATTGGTTGCTCAGAGTGTATGTGCTCAGGAAGAGATGTCTTTCTCCTCTCTTCCCATAACTTGCAGAAGTGCAAATGTTCATGGTTCATCCACAGAACAGATGATGTAGGACTGCAGGAATGAACGCCAGAGGAAACAAAAACTTCCCAAAGAAAGGATGCTAATCTGAGAATAGTGCATGTTTGGGAAATCAATTGGCAAACACAGTCACCCTGGAATATAGTGTCCCCTCACAATAAAAGTTTTCTGGACATAGTGGAAAAACTTGGAATTTTAAGGATGAAATATTGTATAGGAGGTGGGAGAAACCAGCAGGTGATGGGTACAGGTACCAGCTGGTTGTACCAGATACACTGAAAAAGGAGGTTCTGAGTTTGTCATGACTGTAAAACTACTTGACATTTTGGGGCTGCAAAAACCTTAGCCAAGCTAAGAGAGAAATTCCATAGGGTGAAATGAAGGTGGAGTGTAGAAAATTGGTGCAGAAAATGTAAAGATTCTGTTGTAACAAAGGGTCCCACCAAGAGTGGGGGAGCTTCTATCTCATGCGGGCATCAATGGTGCACTGCCATTTATATTCTTGGGCCCTTGCCTGAGACAGAGGCTAGCAATCAATATTTGCTGGTAGCTACAGACTGCGTAGACAGTCGGTCCTTCATCAGTTAAGACTGAGCCGATCACAACACGTCTTCCAATCTTCTCTTGCTCTGGCCATCCTTTGCCATGTTTGTCCATATATCCTTGTTAAGAAATCATCCCACCTCTTTGGAGGCCGACCACATGGCCGTTTCATTTCTCGCGGATACCACTCAGATATAGCTGCAGTCCATCTGTTGTCACTGAGTCGGGCCACATGTCCTGCCCATCGTATTTTGCTGAGCCTGCTTTCGACAACAACATCTCAGACTCCAGACTGCTGCTTAATTATTTCATTGGGGATGCGATCGCGGAGCAAAATGCCCAAAAATGTTTGTTCCATTGCCCTCTGTGTGACAGACAGTTGATGTTCTTCAGTCTTCGTCAGCGACCATGTTTCGCTGCCATATAGCATTGCTGGAAGCTCGGTTGAGTTAAAAAGATTCGCACGAGTTGTTTTGCTGATCCTTGGAGGATGTTCCTGATGTCGCTGAATGCATCCAGCTTTTTTTCTGCATAACAGTTCGCCTTTCTGATCGTGGCACATGTTGACTTCTTGGCCCAAATAAACATATTTGTCGGCCTCTTGGATCTGCTCTCCTCCAAGAGTTATTTGGGTTCTTGGCAGAACATCTGATCTGATATTTTGTTTTCGACTGGTTCATTTTTAATCCAACTTGACTACTTTTCACGTTCAGTTCTTTAAGCAGTCTCTCAAGCTGGACTGTATTTTCAGCTATCAGCACTATATCATCTGCGAACCTGAGATGGTTTAGCCGCTAGCCATTGATATTAATCCCGCCTTTCAGGTCTGCTCGTTGAAAGACCAATTCAAGACAGGCTGTGAATAATTTTGGTGAAACTGTGTCTCCTTGTTTCACACCTTTCTCGATGGGGATTCGGAGGGGAGTATCGAACAGCAATATATCCGTGCTGCAGCCAGAGTTCGCTTCCTTTAATAATGTGATATATTTTGCGCTGATGCCCTGTTCTGAAAGAGCTTCAAGAACAGTGTTAATCTCCATGCTATCAAACACCTTCTCGTAGTCCACGAAGGTAATGCACAAAGGGAACTTGTATTCCCTTGAACGCTCTAGTAGTTGGTTTAGAATGAAGATGTGGTCTATCGTGCTGTAATTTCTTCAAAAAACAGCCTGCTCTCTAGGTTGCTGTTCATCCAGGTTTCGCGACAGTCGATTTGTTATTATTTTGGTGAACAACTTATAGATATGCGAAAGCAGGCAGATCGGGTGATAGTTCTTTAGATTTTTCTTGATCGCCTTTCTTATGCAGAAGATGGTATTGGACTCTTTCCAACTGGATGGTATCTTCTGGATTTCCAGGTAACGGCTGAACCTTTGGGCGAGAGCTTTCCAGAGTTCCTGACCTCCCACCTTAAGTGCTTCTGCTGTCAGACCGTCCTTGCCTGGAGCCTTCCCCTCTTTCATTTGATGGACTGCGTGACGGACTTCGCTGATGAGAACCGGGAGTATGTGTTCATCGGTTTGTTGAAGTGATGGCATTGGGACGTCTATACGGGATGCAAAGAGCTGGGTATAGAAATCCCTGAAGATTGCCTCCATCTCTATTCAATCGGTTACTGATTCTCCATCCTTGTTCTTCAAAGCTGATAATGATGACCTATACAACACCAGTTCCTGTTTGCATTTTTTGAGACTTTTACGATCTTCAGCAGCCTTTAGAAGCTGTTCAGTTCGAAATTTCTCGAAGTCTTCCTTCAGCTTCATTCGTATGAGCTTGCAGAGAAGAGAGTACTCAAGCCTGTCACTGTCATTTCTTTTCATTTTCCTCCTCTTTTCCAATAAGGTCTTTGGTCTTTCATGCTCAGCTGATTTCACACACTGTTCCAGTCTCTTGCTGAAGTTCTCATAATCGTCGTTGCAGTTGTCCAGGAGGCTCCAGTCTTCCCTGGAAATGTTTTCCTTCAGGATTTCCTCGTCGAAAGCTACTGGTTGGTGCCTTCTGTTTGCCATATACAGCGCCTTTTTCTCCACCTTCACAGTGAATGTGAGTCTGGCTCTCAGTAGGCGATAACTACCGATGTTAAATGATGGCTCTACTGAAATATCCTTCACAATCTATCTATCAGAAAGTAATCGATTTCATTCTTTGTCTTCATGTTCGGTGCGATCCAAGTCCATCTCCTGTTGGCCTTCTTTCGGAACTAGGTGTTACCAATGAACATTCTCCTTGTCTCTGCCAGTATAGCTAGTCGTTCTCCTCACGCATTTCGTTCTCCGATACCGTACCTTCCTATGAACTTTTCGCCTTCTCTCCCTCTTCTAACCTTGTCATTAAAATCTCCCATCGCAGCTACAGACTACTTCAAAAAAATGGCCTGATATGTACCCAAGAAGAAATCAAGAGGTTGTGACAGTAGCAGATGTCCAAGTGAATGAACTTTTTACCAGATTTGGAGTCCCACGTGAGTTACACACCAATTAAGGGAGAAACTTTGAATCCAAATTTTCATCTCATGTTTGTGAGATTGTAGGGATCCACAAAACTCACACCATCCTAATACACCCACAATTTGATGGGACCGTGGAAAGGTTCAATAGGACATTGGAATTTCAGCTGGCTACCTTTGTAGAACATCACCAAAGGGACTGGGACAAGCATTTTCCATTCCTTTTGGTAGCTTATAGAACAGCAGCCTATGAGAGTACAAAGTATAGTACAGCACTTCTCACACTGAACCTCTCATGTGGAGTTCCTGAAGAGGAACAATTTAAATCATTTGGACTATGTAGAAACCCTACAGTCCGAAACTGAAAAAATCTCACACCTTTGCTAGAGAAAATTTGATGATAGCCTCTGATAAAATGAAAAGTTTCTTTGACATGTGCTCATATGGGGAAACTTTCAAAAGAGGGGACCTAGTCTAGCTTCACAACCCTGGGAGAAAGAAGAAGAGGAGCCCTAACCTGGATAAACCTTGGAAGGGAACCTATAGAGTACTGACCTAAACAAATGAAGTGATGTATAGGATACAGCTGCATCCCAGGACTAAACACACAGTTATCCATAAGGACCATCTGAAAAGGTACTAGTGGGACAAGATCTTAGTGTGGCTGCCCCTGAATCAGAGAATGTAGCTGTAGAAACTGAGGCTGCAAACATTGTCACAGAGCTGCATTCCCCATTGGAAGGGAATGGGCAGGGACTGTCACAGCCAGAAGATTCCACAGAAACAAAAATTTTGCCTCATGGACTCCCTGAGAGAGTTCCCCTCTGGTGGCTGAAAGAAAATAAAGAAGGGAGCAAAAAGTTCCAAAGAGCTTAGGATGGGAGTAAAACTTTTTGGTGATGTGAAAATATCCTCATAGACACTGGCCACTTGTAGATAGTGACACTTATATCACTTCTAAAGTGAAATTGGAGTGCATGTGTGGATTTTAGAGCCCTTTGAAATACTGGCTTTAACTAGAAGCCTTGGTTTCAGGATGAAACTTCCAAAAGGAGCCCTTGCCCAGTACAGACAGACAGCAACTAACATGCACAACACATTCTCAGAAAGCTGCTGTGGGTGGGACTTGAATTTACAGTACATAGATGCTTCTCAGTTTCAATGGCCACAACATGTCACCTAGAAAAACACAGTTAATCTGATTTTAGGCTGCCAGCAAACACTTTCGTTTACATGAGAGCCCTAGTTTTCCTGCCCATGCACATTTCACTTTCTTTGGAGAATCAGTTTGGCTTGGCCCATGATGGAGTTCTCAATTTTACTCTCAATAACTTTCCCAAATAAGAGCTAGAAGACTTCGATGTCATGTGATATCTTGGGAAACCTGTGCTAAAATGACCCCATATTTACATCACTAACCCTATTGCAGACTCCTATGAGGCACGCTACTTTCAAGAAAATCCAAGTCAGCATGTCGATTTTAGAGTGCTGAGGACTGGTCTACACTGGGGGGGATCGATCTAAGTTACGCAACTTCAACTACATGAATAACGTAGCTGAAGTCGATGTACTTAGATCTACTTACCACGGTGTCATCACTGTGGTAAGTCGATGGCTGACACTCCCCCGTTGACTCTGCCTGCGTCTTTCGCCCTGGTGGAGTACCGGAGTCGATGGGAGAGCGTTCGGCGGTCGATTTATTGCATCTAGACTAGATGCGATAAATTGACCCACTACTGGATCGCTGCCCGTTGATCCAACTGGTAATGTAGACAAGCCCTTAGAAGAATAATATGTGTAACAGTAAGCAGCTCTCAACCTTAACTACAGCAGAGCTACTGTTCTATTCTAATGTTGTTTACCATACTTTGGATGTTGTTAAAATACTTTGCATTTCGATCATTTCAATGATTTGTCATTCCTTCAACACTGGAAATAATTAAACCAGTTATTTGTAAACTAATTCATATATTTAATGTGGTGTGGGAAAGGGATTATTCCTTTCTCTGCTACATCCCCTATTCTCCAAGGTGCCTGCTAACACCAGTATCTCTTTCCTGCAGAGCAACTAATATAGTAAATGGAATGCACAAGGCCTGTAGAAGGTGGGAAGACTGTGGGTCTTGGGGGCAGTGGGCATGGCATGGCTGCAGAACTGGGGCATTCCACATCTCCAAAAGACCTTAATAGCTCATTGGAGCCCCCCAATCCCGACTACACCTGCCCACCACTATAGGGAGCTTGAAGCTGTAGAAAGCTTTCTAGTTATTGCAGTCATTGATAAATGAAATGGTTTCCAGGGGATGAATAAAACAATCTGAATTTCTGATTTTTCTCAGGGCAACACTAAGGGACCAAAGGGAAGAGATTTGAGGCCCTTAACTTTAAATTTCCAGACCGTCCAAGGACTGGGTTTCTTGTAGATTTAACTTTAACTCTGAATTTCCTGTGTTTAAACTGTATTTTGAAGATCTCTGTGAGGTCTGTTTTATTTTATTTCTTAGATGTACCTATTCTCAGTTCCTTCCAGATAAAATTGTGTCTTAGTTCCTTTGACAGGGAATTTCAAAGTCAATGGACCTGATCACCCCATCACAGCCATTGCTGGTAAGGAAATTGTGTTACCCTGTCACCTGTTGCCCAGGATGAGCGCGGAAAACATGGAGGTGAGATGGTACCGGACTCAGTTCCTTGAAGTTATACATCTATATCGGGATGGAATAGATCACTATGAAAAGCAGATTCCAGCATATCAGGGAAGGACAGAGCTTCTGAGAGATGGTATTGCCGATGGAAACATTGCATTGAGAATATACAGAATCACACCTGCTGATGAAGGACACTACAGCTGTTTCATCCAATCAAGTACATTTTATGGAGAAGCTATGTTGGAGCTCAAAGTAGCAGGTTAGTCAATATTTGGATTTCCCAATAGGAGAAGTAAATTAAACTGTTTGACTCAGTAAAGGCCCATTCAGTCAGTTTCACAAGTTACAAACTTAGGCTGGAAACCTGGCCCCATTGAAGTCAGTGATAAAATTCCTATTGACTTCAACGGGGTCAGGATTTCACCTGTCATTTCAGTTGCGGATTTTCCTGCCGCTTTATTATTCTCTGTCTGTGAAAGTTTGTTTGTAATAATTCCTGAATTAGCTGAAATTCATTCAATTAAGAAATGAAATCTGTTTAATCACAAAATGATTGCATTTCTATGAAAGCTGCATGATTGCAGCCACCATTTCAGAAATCATTTAATGGGATTATTAAAGGGGAGGAGATCGACGAGACAGAATGGAGGACAGCAACACAGGAAAGGGATCAGAAGGGAAATGGAGAAGGAAGATGAATAAGACCCACCACATCACCCCGGTGTGGGCCTAGCTCGCAGAGGCTGCAAGAAACAGACCTCTGCCACCTGTATGAAAAACAGGTGAGCTGTGGGTCCCATGGGCACCCCTGTATTATGAATTCACGTGCAGGTCTCCACAGGGATGGAGGCCTCGGTGAGGATGGTAGCATTGTCAAGAGAGGGAAAGTGACATTTCTTTCAGATGATCAGCAGCAACAACAGGATGTGTTGTCTGTAGGGACTCACGTGGTGCCATTTCTGTGGAGCAGGACAAGCTGCTCTCTTTGGAGAACCACTGGTGTTGCTCCTCTACTCACAGCCTGTGTACAGAGGAGTGGTGGGCCCTTTAGTGGATGAGGAAGGAACTCATTGGGAGGGTGCTGTCGTGTTCTGGAGTCATGTCATGTTTTATTCATGTACACATTTATGATTTGTAGACAGCAGTTGTACATGTAAGAAATTATTTTAAAGAACAAGTCCAAAGGTGGTGGCATTGCTGTGTGGTATAGCATGTAGGACACTGGTCTGAGACTCAGAAAATCTGAGTTCTGTTCCCTAGTCTATTACAGACCTACTGTGTGACCCTGGGAAGTCACTTTCCTTCTCTGTGCCTCGGTTTCCCCAACCGTCCTTTGTTTGATTTTTGTCTTAGGAAAGAAAAAGAGAAAACATCAGATTTACTATTAACTTTAGACTGGAGATTTGCTCTAATCAGATATTTCAGAGGAACACCATTTAGCATAAACCACTTTGTTTAAATATTTACTTCATAACATGATTTTTAACTCAATCTTTCAGCTGGTTTTATGACACAGCAGAACAATACTTGTCAGTGTCAGCACAAAATAATACTTGTCAGTGTCTTATGGATTCTCTGTGACTCTGGCAGCAAATCACTAGGTATAGATAAAGATCCTCTTATTTGATCAGTCATCTTGTCCAGAAACAGAACTTCTTGGGCTGTAGCCAAACCAACTGAATTCAAATTAACTTCCTGTGATTTGAACAAATGTCTGTGATTATGTCTGAACATCTCTTCACTGTCTGGGTCTGTATCACATAGGATAGGGGTGGGTACAATGTATCTTTGACAGGATCAGACTGTCAGGGACCATTTGGGTTCTATATGTGCACTCTCCTTCCTGCAGCAAAGGTAGAGGTTTGAGTGTTCTTTAATATGTGGACTGGCAAACCTGCTCTTCAGTTGGGCACTTCCACCAGGGCAGAACAGCATCTCTCTGGCCCTGTTCTGGCAGTTTTCTACTCCTGAGTGTCTGGAATGATTTATGTGCCTGAGTCCCAGTTTTAGGCATAACTGTGATCTTGCAAACTCCCACTTAGCTGCTAACCATGTAGGCACCTAAATCTCTGCTCTAAATGTTCCCTAGGTGTATGAAGTGGGAATATTTTTTTACTATTCCTGTGCATGACTTGGTTTCCCTCTGTAATTTGCATTGGTACCCAGTGGGTGCAAAAGGGTTAAAAAGCTGCTCGGGGGGGGGCGGGGAGGGGGAGCAGGAGATGTAAGGTGTTGTATCGTGTAACTGTCCAGGGAGGTATAAAAGGGTCATTAAATGACTGGTTGAAATCAACCCAATGACTGGACAATTAAAACCTAACAGTAAGCTCCAACAGACATCTTGCATCTGAAGAAGTGAGGTTCTTACCCACGAAAGCTTATGCTCCCTATACTTCTGTTAGTCTCAAAGGTGCCACAGGACCCTCTGTTGCCTCCAACAGACAGAGCATGTGAACTCAGCTTGGGGCTGCAGGAATTGGACAATGCACCAGAAAGTGTCAAGTGAGGGAAAAGAGTTGGTTTTGGAGGGACTCAGTAGCTCTCACATGGGACTGATAAAGAGGAGAGCCAAAGGAAAAAAAACAAAAGTCCACAGCAGCGTGGCTAGATTTAGCACTGGCTTGGCCAGAATGGTCTGTCTTAACATTTGCTTCTCTGTGCTAACCTAAGGACTTCTACATGCTGTGCTCCAGCTGACTAATAAACCCTATTCTGTTTTGAAAAAGCTGCTGAGTATCATTGCAAATACTTGCTGAGGTTCACTGGCCACTGAGTAGTGTAATAGCCCTGGTCTACACTACGAGTTTAGGTTGAATTTAGCAGCGTTAGATTGATTTAACTCTGCACCCATCCACACGACAAAGCCATTTTTGTTGACTTAAAGGGCTCTTAAAATTGATTTCTATACTCTTCCCTGACGAGGGTATTAGCGCTGAAATCGACCCTGCTGGGTTGAATTTGGGGTAGTGTGGACACAATTTAACGGTATTGGCCTCCAGGAGCTATCCCAGAGTGCTCCATTGTAACCACTCTGGACAGCACTCTCAACTCAGATGCACCCGGCAGGTAGACAGGAAAAGCCCCACAAACTTTTGAATTTCATTTCCTGTTTGGCCAGCGTGGCGAGCTGATCAGCACAGGTGACCAAGCAGAACTCATCAGCCCAGGTGACCATGCAGTCCCAGAATTGCAAAAGAGCTCTAGCATGGACTGAACGGTAGGTACTGGATCTGATCGCTATTTGGGGAGATGAATCCGTGCTATCAGAACTCCATTTCAAAAGACGAAATGCCGGAATATTTGAAAAAATCTCCAAGGGCATGAAGGAGAGAGGCTATAACAGGGATCCGCAGCAGAGCCGCGTAAAACTTAAGGAGCTCAGGCAAGCCTACCAAAGAACTAGAGAGGCAAACGGCTGCTTTGGGTCAGAGCCCCTTCTATGATGAGCTGCATGCCATTCTAGGGGGTGCCCCTACAACTACCCCATCCCTGTGCTTCCCTCCTCCTCCACCCCTCCCGGGCTACCTTGGCAGTTATCCCTCCATTTGTGTGACGAATTAATAAAGAATGCATGAATTTGAAACAACAATGACTTTATTGCCTCTACAAGCAGAAATCAAAGGGGGGAGGAGAGGGCGGTTATCTTACAGGGAAGTAGAGTGAACCAAGGGGGCGGGTTTTCATCAAGGAGAAACAAACAGAACTTTCACACCGTAGCCTGGCCGGTCATGAAGCTGGTTTTCAAAGCTTCTCTGATGCACAGCACACCCTGCTGTGCTCTTCTAACAGCCTTGGTGTCTGGCTGTGTGTAATCAGCAGCCAGGTGATTTGCCTCAACCTCCCACCCTGCCATAAACATCTCCCCCTTACTCTCGCAGATATTGTGGAGCACACAGAAGCAGTAATAATGATGGGAATATTGGTTTCGCCGAGGTCTAACAGAGTTAGTAAACTGTGCCAGCATGCTTTTAAACATCCAAAGGCACATTCTACCACCATTATGCACTTGCTCAGCTTATAGTTGAACTGCTCCTTACTACTGTCCAGGCTTCATGAGCCATGGGAGCAAGGGATACGCTGGGGTAGGTGCGACCATGTGGTGCTGCCGGCTGAGAGAGCAGCCTGAGGCAGAAGCCTCCAGCTGGCATGATATTCCAGGCAGTACTGTATCTCCATTAGACGAAACTTAAAGAAGAGAATGACCTGGAGTCATTCCCATTTTTGTCCAGGCGCCCCCGACCGACCTCACCGAGGCCAGCCAGGAGCACCCACGGGACGACTATGACGGTTAGCAGTCCTATTGCACCGTCTACCGTCTGCCATCCACAAGGCAAGGCAAGGGGATGCTGATGTGTAGCACTGCAGTATCGCGTCTGCCAGCAGCACCCAGGAGACATATGGTGACAGTGAGCTGAGTAGGCTCCATGCTTGCCGTGGTATGTTGTCTGCACAGGTAATCCAGGAAAAAAGGCGAGAAACGATTTTTTGCCATTGCTTTCATGGAGGGAGGGAGGGAGGGGAGGCCTGATGACATGTACCCAGAACCACCCGCGACAATGTTTTTGCCCCGTCAGGCATTGGGAGCTCAACCCAGAATTCCAATTGATGGCGGAGACTGCGGGAACTGTGGGATAGCTACCACTGTGCAACGCACTGGAAGTTGACGCTAGCCTCGGTACCGTGGACGCACACTGCCAACTTAATGCGCTTAGTGGGGACACACACAATTGACTGTATCAAATCGATTTCTAAAAAATCGACTTCTATTAAATTGACCTAATTTCGTAGTGTAGACATACCCAAAGTCTCTGACCAGTTGAACTCTCTCTCAGTTGGACTTGCTGGGCAGAGCTCATAGCGTAAAGCATGAGTGCTGGAGCCCAGAGACTCAGATTCAAAAGCATGGAGATCTCAGGGCCTACCCTTAAGGAAGAGTAGGAGCCCTTGGGGGTTTGCCACACGAAAGGGGTTCCTCCAAGGGACTGTTTAAAAGCTGGGGTATAGTACAGATCCTGTGGTTCTGTGACATTAGGCACCTAAGTTTCTGCCTCTGAGCATGCACACTGCTGCCTCGGTCTAGGCCTCCAGGCACTTGTCTGCTACCAAATCCCCAGAGTGATCCACAAACTGGGGGAAGATATGCAGAGGAACACCTATTTTGCGTGCTGGGTCTGATCCAGTAGGCATGCTCTGAGCACACTGACCTCCATACAAAATGGCTCTGGGGGCAGTGTTCCCTCCCTTGGTAACTTTTAATTC